TTCATGGTACCAGAGCAGGGATTTACCATAAAAAAAAAAAAGACACTATGACAGGTGAGGGAAAGAAAATCGATGATGGGTCTGGAAAAGCACATGCGAGTGTTGTATCGCAATCGAGTGCTATCTTGCCATATTTTTTGCATCTGTCCGATAATCCGGGATCAGTAATCTCGCACATCCAATTGAAAGGGGAAAACTACGAGGAATGGACTAGATCGATGAGGAATGCTCTTCGAGCGAAAACGAAACTCGGGTTTGTCGATGGAACTTTGGTGAAACCAAAAGATGATTCTAACGAGATTGAAGACTGGTGGATGGTGAACTCAATGTTGGTTGCTTGGATATTTAATACAATCGGACCCACGTTGCGTTCCACCATAACCTACGTTGAAACAGTGAAGGAACTATGGGAGGATCTTCGACAAAGATTCTCCATTGGAAACGGACCTCGTGTACATCAATTGAAAGCTGACCTAGCTGCGTGTAAACAACGCGGACAAACGGTGGTGGCATATTACGGTCGACTGAAGATGATGTGGGATGAACTTGTGAATTATGAACCAATACCCACGTGTAGATGCAACGGTTGCAAGTGTGACATCTCAGTCACACTTGAACGAAAGAGAGAAGAAGAGAGAGTCCATCAATTTTTGATGGGTCTTGACAATATGGTGTACGGAACTGTACGGTCCATTATTTTGAGCATGGGACCACTGCCCAATATGAATAGAGCATATGCGATGATTGTTCAAGAGGAACGACATCGTAATATCGCACGAAGCAAAGAAGATCGAGGGGACGCAGTAGGGTTTGCTGCTCAACTAGGTCCGAATGTGAGAGTTGTGGCTATTCGGGGAAATGAAAAGTTGATGACGTGTGGGCAGTGTGAAAAATCGGGACACGAAAGCAATTCATGCTATCAAGTCATAGGATACCCAGAGTGGTGGGGAGATAGGCCTCGAGAGAGAGAGAAGTGATCGGGGCTGAAGATGAGGCGCTGTGGGGCGCGGAAGAGGGGGCAGAGCACGCATTAATATCACTCGAGCGACGACCGAGGGAAATGGGAGCCAATCTGAAGTTCATGTGGAATGTGACCGTCACGATCTTGCAGGTCTTGATAGCGATCAATGGACAAAGTTACTTGAATTGATCAATGCAAGTAAAAAAGGTGATGAACGGCTTTCTGGTAAGAAATATTTTGATTGGATCGTAGATTCTGGCGCGTCTCATCACATGATGGGGAAAGACGATTTGTTGTCCGATGTTTATAATATATCAGCATTACCTGTAGAACTTCCCAATGGACAAAATACTCTTGCTGTAAATGAAGGGAAATTGTCTTTCGGGAGTCATCGAATTTTGCATCATGTTTTATATGTTCCAAATATGAATTGCACTCTTATATTTGTGGCAAAATTGATGAAAGAATGGAATTGTATTGTCATTTTTATTGACAAT